CATTTCAGAAGTATTCGTGAGACTGTAGGATTCTCTGAGCAGGAATTCGGAAGTCGTCTTCCACCTCCTTCTTCTTCCCCTTCTTCAGCACGACATAAATCCTCAGGCACTAATGATGACTTGCGCATCCCTTCTAGTAATAAAAAGCCACCTAGAGAGTCATTATCCTCCTCCTCCTCTTCTTCTTCTTCATCTTTGTTCTCTTCTTCACCTTCTCCTCCTTCTTCTCGAGTTCGTCTACGCTTTTCCTCGACCTATACCACCTCCTCGCCTTCTTTGTCTCTTCCTCCTGGCTCCTCTTCGTCGCGCGGGCGGCCCCCGAGCGCCCCCCGACCCCCAGAGACGAAGGGCGTCGGAGAGAACCCTGTCCCCTCTCGCCCGGACCCCACGCAGACCCCCACGGGACTCGCGTTCCCTAAGAGCGTCGAGACCGATTCCTTTCGCGCCAGACCAGCGACCGAGACCCCAGACGATCGGACCGGGGACCGCCTCCCTCCCCCGAGGACGCCGCAGACCAGAAACAAAAACAAAAGCAAAAATAAGCAAAGTCAATTATCCGAGAGTGAACAGAGCAACGAGGAACGCAAGACCACGAGGCGACTTGGACTCTTAAGTGACTTGCCTTCACAGACGAAAAGACGCGACAAAACGCACAAGAACAGACAGGACGCTGACAGAGACGCAGGCACGGACTCAGACACAGACGCAGACACAGACGCAGACACAGACAGACGCAGACACAGACTCAAAGACAGCCACAGACAACGAGACGGCCACGAGTGACGCCAACCCTTCCGAGTACTTCGCGGATCTCGAATACCAAGAATCCGACCTCTTCTACGACTACCTCTATTCCGAGTACCTGGACGAAGGCGTCGACACAGACACCACAGTCCCCCGTAGAGTCCAGACAGGTCCTCAGGACTCCAAGGACGCGGACAGAGGAAGACGCCAAGACGGGGCAGACGGGGAGGTAGACCTTAAGACAGACAACAGGTAGGCAGGTGAAAGGAACACTCAAGGAGGTCTCAGCAGGACCGGGTTTGAGGGACGCTGACTCCTTCTGCTTGGGATTGCGGGCGAAAGAGGCGTGGCGGTGCTTGATCTCTCTCTCCTCTGTGCTTTTGGGCTTGACTGCGGGCGGCGGGAAGGCGGGGAAGAGGGGCTTTCTCGACGGGGACTAATCTGGGATTGGGCTGCGGTTGATGCTAACATCTGTATGTGTTGTAGACTAATGTGTTGTTCTTACATACATGCATATATGTGTATTTTATATATACTATACATATATATATATACATACACACACACTATATATATATACATATATATATGTGTGCGTGTATCATAATTTTCACTGACATGGAATTGGACATAAAATTGACTATGCTTTTAGATTTTTTTTTTCGAAAACCAGAACGAAAATAATAAAAGAATGCGGCAGTAACAACATTTGGATTTTTGAAATCTAGCAGTAATGATGGATTATGGATTTTATTTCTTTTTAATCATTAACCCATCTTTAGAGTCTCTTGTATGACATGACAGGTTGAGGAAGTGACAGTGCATGATGCTTTGGAATATATTGGTTATCCGTTGTGACACTGCCTTCGTGACACAAAGCTTCAAATGACACTGGTTTCGTGACACGAAGGTTCGACACGGTTTTCGTGGCAAAATGCTTCAAGTGACACTTTTTTCATAACGCAAAGCTTAAAATGACACTGCTTTTCGTGACGCAAAGTTTAAAACGACACTTTTTTCGTGACACAAAGCTTCAATTGACGCAGGTTTTCGTGACACAGAACTTAAGATGACACTTTTTCCGTGACGCAAAGCTTAAAAAATCCCTGTTGTCGTCTGTCATTTCAAAAGCAGTTCCTTCCCCTTTTCGTGAGGAGTCCGACCGCCTTCGAGCGCAGGACCCCCTCCGCTGCCACTTGCCTGACCCCTCCTCCTCCCGCAGGACCCCGTCTCACAAGCGGCCCCCTCCGCAGCGGCACAACCTGCGCGTGCACTCCTTCCAGAGCACCTTCCCCTTCGAGTCGGAGGTGCGCGGCGAGGGCTACCACTCCACCATCCGCTTCGACCCCTTCGGCAGCTCCCTCCCCCCGCAGAGCAGCCACTACCCGAAGAGCCAGACGTACGGCAACTGGGGCACCACGCGGCGTCCGAGGCCCGTGGCGTCGGCGGAGATCCCAGGGCCTCTCCCGAGCCCTGTCTCCGCGGCCTTCGCCAGCGCCGAAGTCTACAGCAGCGGCGAGAAGCTGGGTCGCCTGCCGCTGGCGCCGACGGAGTTCCCGAGGCCCTTCCCCGACCCGTCGATCCGGGCGTCGGTTCCGGACTCCGGGTTCCCGAGGCCGCCGCCCGCCCGCCCTTTCCTCAACCCGGGGAACCTAGCGGGGCTCCTGGAGGGGGACAGCCTGGGGGATGCCATAACCCCGGTGTCCGCCCCGGCCGATCTCACCACCGACGCCACGCCCCTGTCCCCGTCCGCGTCCAGGGAGGTCGCCTCGGGCCGCCCCTCGCCCGAAGACGTCGACATCGACTACCCGAGCGTCGCCAACGTGTTCGCCGACCGCCCCAGCCAGCCGCGTTCGGGCGAGCAAGTGGCCGCGAGCGAAGCCAACAGCGAACCCCGACTCGAAGCCTCGGATCGCAACGAAGCCGACCACAACTCGTCGGCCGGAATTGTACCCGAAGCGTCGGTCGAGGTTGCCGTTTCGACCGCGCGCCCGCCTCCTGCCGTCGCTGAAGACCAGGGACAGGACCCCGCCCCATCCCAGGAGTCCTTCGCAGGTGATTCTGCCCCTCCTGCAGGCTCCAAGGGCGAAGCAGCACATGACTACGATCCCGAATACTATGATAACTTGTACGACGAATTCATGGACATGTACTACGACCAGACGGGGGCTGACGGAGGCGAGGGGCCGAGCAGCCCTCCCTCTCCTCCTGACGACCACGAGGAACAGCCGAGTCGCAGTATCCCGGCGACTACAGCTTCCTCAAGTACAAACCCACCTTCAACAACGACAACCACTACACCTACAACTACCACACCAACTGAGCCTCCCACTACAACCACCACAACTACGACAACACAGCCTCCCACAACTACCACAACATCTACAACGACACCACCACCTACCACGACTACTACAACCACCACCACAACAACAACACCACCAACCACCACCACAACAACACCCCGCCCACGACAACCACCACAAACCACCACACGACTCCCGCAACAACAACGACGCAGAGAGTAAGGGCAATTCCCACAAACAAGAACGCAGGTAAGAAGACTGAAAATTTAGAGCCTAGAATTTTTTTTGATTTGTTGAACGAAATCAGCTCTTCAGGATTTTAGAATGATATAGTACCTTAATGCTCTTTTTTGTATCATTATGGATATTGCAATAATAATTCTTCACTTACGGTTTCTTAAAGGAGACTAAGACTTGGATATGACTATGTGTTTCTTATCTATTTTTATTTTTTAATGTAACTATATTTTTTTAACAGCTGTGGCGAGAAGCGGCGCTCCCATCAGCCTCTCGGAGATCCTTCAGGGCATGGGCATGATCCTCCCTCAGTTCCTGGTGGCGCTGCAGGGCGAGGGGATGTCCCTGAAGGAGTTCACGACGAGCCTCCAGGCCCGGGGACTCACGCAGAGGGAGTTCAGCGGCGTTAAGGGGAGCGTCCAGGACCTCCTTGCAATGCTCAAAGGACACGGCGACGACGAAGCTGAAGAAGAGCAGCCTGAGAGCACGACGACGACGACGACGACACGACGACGACGACGAGCACGACGACCACCACGACCCCCGCCACGACGTCTACCACTTCCACGACGACCACCACGACCGCCAGACCCACGACGACGCGGCACCGCACCCCTCTTCCGCCCAAGATTTTCGGCTTCATGCCCGGCGGGAGACTGTCCTTCGAGGGCGCCAAGAAGCCAGGGGGCTCGTCCACGGAGGAGGGGGCGGGGAAGGGCGCGGGCGAGGGCGTGCAGGCGAGCGCGGAAGGGGACGCGGCGACTTCTGCGGCTGCGGGAGAGGGAGCGGACGAAGGCCAGAGCCCCATCCCCATAAAGGTGGACCTCGCGTCCATCATGAAGGACAAGGGCCTCTCCGCGTCCGACATCCTGCACGACCTCGGCTCCATCTTCAGCCTGACGGACAGCGGCCCCTCCGAGGGCGGCGCTGCGGCGGCGAAGAAGGCGAGCCCGGCCGAGGGAGGGGGACCGAGCTCCGAGGAGCAAGGAGGGGACGGGCCGCGGCCGCGCCCCTACACCACCCCCGAGACGCCCGTGTCCCTCCGCCCGTACCGGACCTCCGCAGAGTCCGGGAGGCGACCCCCGCGGCCCTACAGGCCCCTGGGGCACGAGGGCGGCCGTAGCGACGCCAACTACCGCAGGATCCTGACGAACCGCTTCCAGACGACCGAGCGCACGACCCTGCGCCCCCCGTACGTGCCGCCGCCCTACAACCCCGAGAGCGACCTGTCCTCGCTGCTCGACGTCCTCCACAACTCCACCACCAACTCCGAGGACGGCAGCCTGTCCTTCGGGCTCTCGCGCGACGGCGACAGCGCCTCCTCCGGCTACTCCTACGGCGACGAGTACCGGCCGCGGCCCCTGGAGGACGACTACTTCCCCCTGTACGACGACGACCCCAACTCGCTCAACATGTCCACCAAGAGCGCCATCATGGCCGCGTCCATCCTCGGCGGCGTGGCCATGTGCGTGTTCCTGGCCATCCTGGTGGTGGTGATGTACAAAGGGCGCGCCAGGAACCGCCGCGTGCCGCTCGCCCTCCCCAGCGACGCCTCCTCCTCCTCCACGCCGCCCATCTACTCCACGAGGATGAGCGTGGGCAAAGGCGCCTACAAATCCGCCGGCTTCTGGGGCACGCTCAAGAAGAGGTTCGACCCCTACTCCCTCAGCTCCACGCCCACCACCATGTCCTGAGCTCTGGGGGCGTGAGGGAGAGAACTCGTGCTTGCGGGCGTGAGGATCGGATTCGTGTTTGCGGGCGCGAGGGAAAGAACTCGTGCCTGTGGGCGTGAGGGAGAGAACTCGTGCCTGTGGGCGTGAGGGAAAGAACTCGTGCTTGCGGGCGTGAGGATCGGACTCGAACTTGTGGGCGTGAGGGACCGGACTCATGCTTGTGAGCGTAAGGAACCAGACCCGTGCTTGTGGGCGTGAGGAACCAGACCCGTGCTTGTGGGCGTGAGGGATCGGACCCGTGCTTGTGGGCGTGAGGGCGTGTCACAGGACCTATCGGCAGAGTCGTTGCATTGCCGTGGGTCATCTTTTTGCCATAATCCGAAGGCGTGGAAGGTGGTCGTGCGTTGAAATGTTTTGCAATATTTCTTCGGGCGCAACATCGTGTGATATTACTGCACCAACTGTTTTCTTGCAACAGTACTTCCGACGGACAATGAATATTCGAAGATATTGAAATGTTTATTATTATCATTATTATGTTTATTATTATTATTATTATTATTAATATTATTATCATCATTATTGTTGTTATTATTATCGTTATTATTATTATTATTACTATTACTTTCATTACTATTCTTTATTATCTTTATTTATGTTATTATCTTACTGTCATTATTATTATCATTAATGTTATTATTGTTATTATCACTATTATTATTAATATCATTATTGTTATCATTATTATCATAATAATATTTCCATTTGGCAATATTATTAATTTCTTTATTACGTGATGTGTATATAGTAAGATGTAGAGCTATCTCAGTTTTTTATATTAAGACGTATTTGTACAGAGTATAAAGTGACATCTTGTACTTAAGTGGAGAATTAGCGTGAATAGCAAGGAACTTAGACAATAGCTAAATTTTTATTTTGAGGTAGACTTAATTATTAATTCATATCTTCCTTTTTCAATTTCCTGACCTCTTTTTTATATATTTTTGCGTTTGATCTATAAAAAAAAAAAAATGTTTTAAAGGGTGATATTAAAACGATTTTTAAAAAGATCAAAATATAATGTATTTTTTTAAAAGGAAGAATGTCACTCGAAAGTTAGAATTCGCGGGAACTTAATTTCCCGTTTTCTTCTTCATTTTCTTTACTGTCCTTATTTCATGACTGACTAATTTATTTATGGATTTCGCGGGGGAAACTTGCCTAATTTTCCTCATTCAGTTCTCGCTTTCATCGACTTTTTAATTTATTTCATCGATAGAATTTGCTAATATTCAGGCTGGGACAAACCTGCCTGTATATATTATTTTTCTATCCCGTTTGTAATGCTATATTACGCATACTTATAATTGCATAGACATTTAACGCGCACACACATACATGGAGTATTACCTCTTTGTATTACAGAAACATTATACAAAGCAGACTGCCGTTTCAGAATCAACGTAAAAACATATGATTCCAAAGAAATATATATATATTTTTGAGTTTGTATATAACATGCTTTTATTTTTAGGAATTTGGCTTATGGTCTGTTAACAAATTCGGTGGCTATACATAAACAAAACAGAGATAAAGAAGATATAGAAATAAAGCGAATTAACATATTTATATTGTGAATAAAATATTATAATTAAGAATATAAACTCCACAATACAAGTAATATTTTTGACGCGTAGTAACAGCGGTTGCATTGTGGATTTTCATAAAATTCGTCCATACCTTTTCTATGTAATATTAGACAATATTATAGTAGAAGAGCTTGTCAAGCATTTAATTGAATATCTGATTCCACATAGCATATCGCGTCATGAAGGAAAATAAATGAAAAGTAAAATATTTATCTGCTACCGATACAAACTACAAAGGAGTTAGACTATCTGAAAGAGAATCCGATTCTCTATATTTGTAGGATTTCCATAAATTCCTCTCCTCTTTTTAGTTTATCCACAAAACTAAAAAGACACATTATTCTACGTTGAAGGAAATCCCTAGACCATTTTTTTAACCCCCCAAAAACAGGATAAAACAGACACAGAAGACAAAATTAAGTAAAATGAGCTTCCTCTATTCCCGTGGAGTGACATGCTTTTTGGCGCGGAGTGTTAACATGTCGATCTTTGTGTCAAGAACTTTGCCTTAAATGGGCACTGTTTAGTTTGTTAGATGTTTGTTGTTGTTTGTATATTTATTGTTTATAAGAATAAATTAAGGATTTCATGAGTTTTTTTTTTATTGGTTGTACCTTAAATACTGAATGGCGGAATAAATAGAAAAGGATTAATACTGGCATTGAAGAAAGAGAGAAAATGGGCTTGTCTGTCATCATCTCATTTTAATTAACTTGCTACCATGATTGCAAAACAAAGATTCAATAAATTAAATTTACCAATACTACATACATACATACATTGATATCTATATAATCATAATATATATATATATATATTATATATATATATATAATATATGTATATATATATATATGTATATATATATAATATATATATATATATATATAT